GACGCCCCGGGGCGGGGCGGGAGAGGCCGAGGCGGCCGCCGGGTCGCGGGGCGGGCCCGCATCTGCATACATTTGCATAGCGCGGACAAAGGCCGCCTCCCGCGCCCCAGGGTGCGATTTGCATATCCCCGGGCGGGGCCGGCCTTCCCGGCGCACTGATTAGCATACGGGGCGGCGCCCGGGCGCGGCGCATGCGCGCGGACGGGGCTGCGCCGGCTGGGGCCCCGGCTCGCGGCCGCGCCTCCCGCGGATCACTCACGCGTGGCGTCTGCGCGGCCGCGGCCTGGGCCCGCCTCCGGGGACACCGAGCGCGCCGGCTCAGCCCTATGGGACCCCGAGCCAGCTGCCCCCCAGGGGAGCCTCTCGGCGGAGGCCGCGCGGGGCGCGCCCCCGGCCTGGCGGAAGGACGGCTCCGCACTGTTGGCTCTCTGCCTCGTGAGTGCTGAAACAGGCGCACGGCGGCGAGCCCAGCTCCTGGAGGTGATTTGGAAGAGCTTTATGCTGACCAGACGGAGCCATCGCCACGCACACACACGCACACACACGCACACACACCCGCTGTGCTCCACAGAACTGCGTTTATCTCTAGCAACCTGCACCTCCCTGGCGGGGCCCCGTTGCACCACGGAAAGGGAAAGTTGGGCCTTGTTTTGTCTCCCGTGGAGCCGAGCGGGTTCTCCCTCAGCCTCCCGAGGGCTGGGGTGACGGGTGTGAGTCCACAGCTGCCCGTCAGTCAGCGTCTGGCCCCGCCCACCGCTTTATCCAGGTCCCTGCAGGACAAACAGGAATCCTGCAGCCTCAGGCCTTCTCCCTGCCCTGCGCTCTCACAGGGACACTGACAGCTGCAATAAATGAGGCGCTTGGGGGGCCTCAAGACAGGGTTTCTCCGCGTGACCCTGGCTGTCCTGGACCCTGTGGCCCAGGCTGGCCTCGAACTCGCAGAGCTCCGCTCGCCTCCACCGCCCAGATGCTGGGGTGAAGGGTGCCTGGGACTTCGCGGGCCTTTCTGTCTCCTTCACTCTGCAGGAGCGAAGTGAGACCGTAGCCGCCTCTCGTGCGCGCGTGTGCGTGGGCAGGGTCTCACTGCAGTGCCCTGGCCTGGTGCTCACGGCGCACACTCGCCGCCCGGAGCCGACCTGGCCGCCCGCTCACGGCAGTCTCCATCCTCAGAGCCGCTCGGGGCAGAGGACAGGCCTTTCACCGAGTCCTTAGCGCCCCGAGCAGGAGAACCTCAGATTCCTGTTCACCTGGAACAACTCCGCGTGATTGTTCGTGTTTGCACGTGTCTGTGGATGTGATTGTGTGCCTGTATCCGCGCGTGTGTTGTGTGGGAATGAGTGTGTGTGTGTGTGTGTGTGTGTGTGTGTGTGTGTGCAGGGCTGTTTGACTCATCGCTGGCTGCCTGACATTGGTTTTTGTTGGCTGGTGGAGGTCTCGGTGCAGCTCAGTGACGCTCACTGGCACCCTCCCGCCCATTGCTGGGGCCGCAGCAGGGTCCAGCCCAGGCTGACCCTAGGCTCTCAGGCTCACGAGGCTGGCAGGATGCCAGTGTGCGAATGGGAACACAGGAGGGGCTGCCATGCTGACGGCGTGAAGTCAGTGCTGGTGAAAACGTGCCAATTGCTGGCTGAGGTCCCTCATGCCCATAACGCCAGCCTTTCAGAAGCTGAGGCAGAAGCATCACCGCGAGTTCAGGACCAGCCTGGGCCGAGGTGTATGTAAGCTGCCGTCTCAAAACGCAGAAAGGACAAAGCAACACAGCCCTCACCCCTCCTCCACTCGCACCCCAAAGCCCGAAAGAACCAAGTCTGGGATGAGCAGAAGGGGGTGGCCTCGTGAGGGAGGTCTGGCCGCTTCTTCCCGGGCGGTGGCGTCCATGGCGCCCCCCAGTGGGACAGCGTGGACGGACAGCGTGGACGGAGGGACAGACACACAGCCACCCCTCGCGCTTCTCTCCTCGGTTTAATCGTGGTTAGTGAATTGCCAACCCCGCCCAACCCTTCCCCGCCCCGTACAAAAATGTGTTTTCTTCTGTTTTTCATTTTTTTTTTAAACAAGAAAAAGGGGCAAAAGCCAGGACTGGGGGAGAGGGGTGCAATCTGATTTTTCATACAGATTTTTGATTTTTTAATATATTATATATAAAACCATAGAGACCACAGTTCCCTCCAAAATCCTTTCCCCCTCCCCGGGGCCTGGAGGAGAGACGGGAAGATGGAGGGAAGGGGAGCCGCCCAGGAACCCGGGGGAGGGGCACTGGATAAGGGTTGGGGTGTCTCCCTCACTGCCCCTTCAGAGTGTTCGCACAAAGACACAGAATTCCCATTCCACGCCCTCCCCGCCCCTCCCCCCACCGTGCAAACATGGCTTTGCAAAGAGGTGCCCAGAGCTCTGTGGAACTCTTACAATGGCTGGCACGGGGTCCGAGACCCCAAAGAAATCTGTGTTTCCCTTCCCCGCCCACCCACCCTTCCCAGAATCTGACCCCTCCCCACGGGGCCTGGTTCTGTAGCCTAGGGTTCTGGCCTTCCCCCAACCCAAATCCCTAGTACCCGTCCTTGGACTCGGTCGAGTTGGGACTTGCAGCCCCTGTGTCCTGGGGACCCCCGGCCTCCGGCCTCGGAGAGGCCCAGGCACCCGTCCCCCGGCCACGCCCAGGGCCCGAGGTGTGAGCGGGGAGGCCGGCGTCGGGACTCTGGTCGGGGTCTCTGCTGGCTCCGCAGCTGGCGGTGGGGGTGGGGTCAGATGAAGAATTCTTCTTTCCGCTTGTGGCCGTCGCTGCCGTTGAGGAAGGCTTCTCTGGCCTCTCCCTGCTCGTCCAGGCCGCTGGCCTCGTGGGTCAGATAGGAGCCTGGGGGCGGAAGGATGCCCCAGGCAGAGGGCACGGCGGGGACGCAGCGTGGGAAGGAGGGGAGACAGGAATTAGGAAGACCCCAGGCCTCACAGAAAAGCGTCCTCACCCCCCATGCAGCCCCGGACGCGGCGTCTAGTTCCCCGGTAACCCTCAAACTCGGGCACAGGCGGCTTTGAACTTCGGGTTCTCCTGCCGCCACCCCCCAGATACTAGGGTTAGAAGCACCCGCCAGCAGACAGGCCCGGCCCTGCGCAGCGTGGTCCACCGCTCTGCGCGCGCTGGGCAGCTGCCAGCTGAGCCGCGGCCTCGGCCCCCGGCTCCGCCCCTTACCCCAGGCACCACCCCGGCCCCGCCCCTGCCAGCCCAGGCCCCGCCCCCGCCGGCTCAGGCCCCCCAAGGCTCCGCCCTCTGCCCCAGGCCTCGCCGGCTCAGGCCCCCGCAGGCCCCGCCCCCCGCCCCGCCGGCTCAGGCCCCCACCAAGGCTCCGCCCCCGCCCCAGGCCTCGCCGGCTCTGGCCCCCCACCGGCTCCGCCCCCTGCCCCAGGCCCCGCCCCGCCGGCTCAGGCCCCGCCCCAGGCCCCGCCCCGCTCACCCTTCTGCCGGACGGAGCACCAGACCATGCCCACCAGCACACAGATGATCAGAAACACCAGCAGCGCCAGGATGCCGCCCACGATGGCGTAGGGAACCGACGTCTGCGCCTCCACCACCGCGCCGGGGTCTGCGGGAGGGACCAGGCGCCGTCCTAAGCCGGGCCGCCACACCGGGCCGCGCAGCGCGCAGTCCAGGCTGGCCTCGAACCCCCGCCGTCCCCCCCCCCCGCCGTCCTCTGGCCCCCCGTGTGCTGGCCCCGTCCTTTTGCGCACACTCGAGGCCCACAAGTCTGGGCGGGGGCCGCCCGCGGCCGTCTGCGGTGCGATCCGGCGGGCGCGCAGGCGTCCACGCGGGCAGAGCGCGGCACACACCCATCTGAACACTACGCAGCCTCTCCTGAGCTTGAGGACCTCGGCCCGGAACTCCCTCCCCCTGCTTGACTTCCAAGGCGGGTTCCTCGGGTCAGCCCGCCTCGTCCTGGAGACCCGCCTGCCTCCGCCGCCCGAGCGCGGCGGCCCCGAAGCCGTCCGCCCTCGGCTCAGCGCCCCAGGCGCCGGGGTCGCACGCGAGGTCCCACCCAGGTCGAGCCAGCCAGGGCCCTTCCTCTCCGGCCGCGCCCCGGCGCCAGGTAGACCGCCCCGCCCCGCCCCCGGCCCCGCCCTGCCTCGCCACGCCCTCAGGCCCGCCCCGCCTCAGCACGCCCTCAGGCCCGCCCCGCCCCCAGGCCTCCCTCACCACGCCCCCGGCCTGCCTCACCTCGCGCCCAGGCCCGCCCCGCCCTCAGACCCGCCCCACCCCCAG